AAAACCTTGCCATGCAAACCCAACACAGCTTTATTTCCTTAGAAGTTGGTAGTGGTTGGAAACCATTAAGACACAATGATTTGTGTATAAATATAACTCTTCTGCTAGTTCTGGAACCTTTTCTCACTACCCAGAAGGACAGGCATTTAAATAACTGTAGAATTTGTTTGTTCATATTGCTACAATATGAGACTTGTGTTAAAATGGTGATTGATGCTTTGTACTGATTCTTTCTTACTTGTGACTTGTCAAGCTTTTTCCATCTGAAGAATGGAAGAATTCAGATTAAAATGCAGAATTTTTTTTTTTTAAATTAGGTAAAAATTGTTAAACATGCTGGGTATGTTTTGCATTTAAAATCAAGGTGATGAGGAACTGTCATATGTAGTTTCTTTTGCCACCCTGTGTCTGTTCCTGAAAACACGTAACACTTATCTTCTTTCTCAGTTCTGTCATCTGCTTCTCCCAAAATTTTGAAGTACTGCCTGCCTATCACAGTGTATATAATTAAATAATATAGCAAATACAGCCCTTGTGGCCTGTGATTCTAACATCATCTTGAACCTGAAACTTTTTTTTTATGATAAAGTTAACGTTTCCTAAAGCGTTTGCGTTCATCCAGGCTTTAAACTGTTTCTCCCCCAACCTGCTGGATATTCTTTTGGACATCTTTGTCCTTGAACCTTCTCTGAAAGAGGCTTAGAGACTTTTTCCTTATGGGTAGCAAAAGCAGGTATGTCCATATTAATTCATTTTCAATGCTAGTCTTACAGTGAATACGTTTATTCGAGGATCCCATCTAAGCAACACAAGGTGGAAGGTTGGCTTGTGTAGTAGAGAGCCAATACCAGGAAAGAGCAAGCTCTGCAGGAGCCCGGTGAGCCTTGCTGGCTGTGCCAGGACTCGGGATGCCTCTCTGGCAGGTAGCCTGCTGGCCTGGTGCTAAGCCTGGCACCCCTCGGTGTGAAGCTGTGGGGAGGTGACCATCAGGCAGTGGTGGAATTCATCATGTGGGCACATCTGCGTGGCATTGTTAACTGTTCTGTGCTAGGGTAGGGCTAGTGTCTTAAGTAGTAAACATATGTAGTTAATCTAATAGACTTGAATGAAGGCTGGGAAACATCACTGATCTTTTTTCTTTCTTTTTCTGTCTGTCCTTACAGTTGGTCCGTTAACCATCACCTTCAGGGTGCTCCCTAGTGAAAGAATGATCATCAAAAAAAATCCTTTTGTTCAGTCTGGTGGCCGCTACAGGCCACCTCACTGCTTGGCCCGCTACAAATCAGCCATCCTTGTAGCCTACAGGAACCAGGAGAAGTACCTGCACCATCTTCTCTACTATATTCATCCTTTCTTGCAGCGCCAGCAGCTCAGTTACAGTATCTACTTGATTCAGCAGGTAAATCTAAACCAGATGTGCCTGGTGGTGTAGCGGAGCTTCCCAGTTAAGGGTTAGGTTCTGAACAAGAAATGTGAATCTTCTAATGTGGAAGTATCGTTTGGTGTGACAGCAGGTCAGTTATATGTGGTCCCATCTCAATGGCTGCTAATGACTGAAATACCATACCACTTGTCAAGATCATCACTCTGCTATTGATCTGCTTTTTTTTTTTTTTTCTTCTAGAGAGGTAAAGATGTCATTAAGTGCTAACTTGTATTTTCAGCTGTTCAGGAGTTGAATGTGGCTTGTCAGTGTGGCTACTGAGCGAAAACTGTTGAAACTAAATGCTAAAGTGAAGTTGGATATTTTTAGACTGTATCAAATAAAAACATCTAGCTTGACCTTGCTGTGGGCCAACGTATGCAGGTCAAACAGTCGTGTTTAACTGACCTGGACTTGTATTGCAAAAGATCACTGGTGAGAGAGCAAGTTTTGGATTAATTAATTAAAAATTATAACTGATTGGGAGGGAGAAGCTTTTTTATTTGTGACTAAGATAGGTTTTCTCATTTCTAAGCTTTAATAAGCAGTAGTCGGGACAAAAGTGTTGATGTGCAGATGTGCACCTGAGAATTGACTTACGGGTCTCTTAAAAATCAGCCTTCTTCAGGTGCCCACAGTCGATAGCCCCTGACATAGCAAAGCCTACAATTGCTGAGAATATTGTGAAGAGAGGGGTAAAATGTCCATAGTCTGGGGCGTGAAATTTGCAGCCAGTATTGATTCATTCCTGTGTCATTCAATTGAATAAGGCTTTTTTACTAACACAAATTTTAATTGGCTTATCCTCTTTGCTTTCTCAGTGAAGAAATGTAGGTTTTCTTTTCCAGGTGGGGAATGGTACATTTAACCGAGCAAAGCTGCTTAACGTTGGTGTCCGGGAAGCCCTGAAGGATGAAGACTGGGACTGCCTTCTCCTGCATGACGTGGACTTAGTCCCTGAGAATGATTATAATCTCTATGTTTGTGATGAATACTATCCCAAGCACATGGCTAGTGCCATGGATAAGTTTCAGTACATGTAAGTGCCTCCCATCTGCTTTAGATCTAATATCCTAAATAGGATATAATATCCTATCCTAGATATTAATTGGTTCACTTCCTGCATAGAAGGTATGAATGGGGACAGTGGAAGATAACAGCCTTTAAGAGGTTTTTTGTTTGTTTTGCACTAATGACTTCCCCAGAAAAGGGTGTTCTGGACCTAAGCATGCAATCTTGAACAGCTCCTTGCCTGCAGTTCCCTGTTCCACTGTTAGCTTGGTGGCAAATGACTGGCAGATTTCTCTTTGCCTTTCCTTCCAGAATAGAAGTGTAGGGTGGGAATTACTGGATTACGTGGAACATGTGTGATGGGATGCAAGTATTTTGAATGAACACAAGATGTGAATTTCAAAACCAGCTTTACTTTGGCCTGCTGGTGGGGGGGAAATGATGGAGGGGACATCACACGATAGAAATTACACTAGTATTGGGTACTGGGTTTTGGCACTGTCATGACTGTCTGTAAGGTATGCGATGTAATATATGTGTGACTTGGATCATGTTGTTAGTTTGTGGAGGACTGGTGTTGGCCTTCAATATTGATGCTTTTTTTTTTCTTTCTCTTTTAGTCTGCCATATAAATCCTTTTTTGGGGGTGTATCTGCTCTGACTCCAGAACATTACATGAAGATGAATGGGTTTCCAAACACATACTGGGGCAGCGGTGGTGAAAATGATGACATTGCTGCAAGGTACTAATGTGCGGGACAGGCTTAAAATAGAACCAGGCAGACTAGTGAAACATGTAGCGTTACCCTACAAAAGGAACTAAGATGAGGTTCCTTAACGTGCTGCAGTATCATCATAATCCAAAATGCTGTTGGCATTGGGAATAGTGTCCGAAGAGGCTCAGAATCTATGAATCCAATCATTGTGTGCCAGGAGGACAAAGCTTTCCTCAGACTCTGGAGGGTGGAACGTTAGTTCACGTGCTTGTGCCTTCAGTCGCTCTGGAGTGCATCCAGGGGGTTATAAGCACCAGGAGCTGACAAGCGACTCCACTGACATTAACAGCCACAAGGGAGGAAAGGAATCTACAAACTTGATGAATAAGAAAACCAAGAAGGTACTTATTAATTCCCAGACAGTTGAGAATTTAAGTGCATTCTAGATTGCTCCAAGTATTACCTAATCACCAATACTTGGAATTAAGGAACACAAGGAATCCTAACTTCTGTCTCCAGTGCTGGGTGATGGAGAAGGCAGTGTACTATGGTGAGTCAGTGACAGGAAGATCTGATATTTTTTCTGGTACTTTAGTTGCCATGGCAGCAGCATGCTATAGAAGTGAATACAGTAAGTTTAGTTCCAGGTATTCTACCTAATGCAAATTCTCAAGTATGAAATCATGGCTGTAGCTTCTTTGTTCAGCTTTGTAGTTGCACCGTGCACCTTCATCATCCTGCACTGAGGCAAGCTCATGGGGAGTTTATAAAACTAAACTGACAATAAAGGCCTTGTGCGTTTTTTTGGTCTTGCACAGTGTGACAAGTTACACAGGTTCGGTGGAATGCTCTGTTTGAGGACTGTAGGAGTCTTTACAAAGCAGTATTCTTCTGGGAATCGAAAGTCAGGTTTTCTAACATAGAATTCCTCCTTTGCCTTTCAGAGAAAGCTAACTAAAAGGGTGTACGAGTGTTAAGAGATTCAGCATTTACTTAAAGGAATGGAATGCCAGGAAAAATAGATCTTTAAATCAAACATTACAATGCTGGGTCTATTCAGCTGTTCTTAGTAGAGCTTAGGCATCTAATGTGCCTAATGGTTTCAGTACCAGTGGTAGAGAGTCATGCCAATTACGCATAGGAGTACGCTTCCTTACAGAAATCTCTTGAGGCAAGTAGGTTATGTCGATCCCAAAATAGCCCTTTCTTGAAGGGAAGTTAATCATGTGGTGTTTCTCTGAAAACTTATACTAACGATTAGCAATGTTCTGGCCCACAGGTATGTGGGGGCCATGGACAGTGCCTGTTAATGATTTATTCACATACTATTCAAGTCTCAACCTGCAGAAGTTAGGAATGAGCTGGCTGGTTTTGAATGGTCAGCTTGATGCACTTAAAGGGAGTTGGATTTTAGGAGGTGCTGCTCAAGCACTTCTTACCATGTAGCAACAAAATTAATTAATATTTGAAATTGGATATTGACATCTCAAAAGAAAAAAAAAATCCCATGTAAAGCTTTTATGCTGGGATACTGCTTATTAAAGCAGTGGGGAAAAAATGCTGGCTGCTACTTATAGTTGGCAGACTGCAGTACTCTATAATATTAGTCCTAGCAAACACCAGCATCTACCTTTTATTAGAAGAAAGTGCTACTCTAATTGGAACCACTTATGTGTTAACATTATCAACTACAGGAAAGTCTGTTGGGTTCTTCTTAACAGTAAATTACTATAGTAACTGTTTCATATTACATCTTTAGTTTAATCTTGCAATGCAAAACTGTAACAGCAAAGCTGGTTCAGTGTTCTCGCTTTTCCTTGTCTTTTTGCTTGAATGTGCAATAAGCTTATGTTCAGAAAACAAGAAACCTTGTCTAAAACTCAGTCTGAAATAGTACTATGTCATACTGTCAATGATGTGTTGTAATCATTTGATGGCTCTAGACTAACAAATATTTTCAGTTCTGTAGCCTCTTTC